TTTGTTATGCATCAGTAAGTGGAATTAATTTTTTTCTTTGAAAAACAATATCACCAGTGCATCAGTGACCATTATAAATTAGAAATATGACTCATTCTGACACACCATCAGAATATTTTTTTTTTTATTCGCCGGTATTCTCCCGGCCCTGGTCTTTTCCAATAGTGGTGACCCGGCCTTGGCTCCCTATCTGGGGGAGTCTCGAGACCTAAGTCTCCCATGGGAGGAGGTACAAGTACCCCCTCATCTTTGGGACCAAGTGTCCCCAGGCCTAGCCACAGTCCCCGCCCTCACGGGGCTCGCAGGGAGAAGCTAGGCCCTCTGGTCTACCATCTGCCCAGCCCCACAAAGGGGCTCGTGGGGATGGCAGTCTTATGAGGTGCAGATAGTAGCAAGCTCAGGCCATTCCTTTTCACAATATATGCAGTGTATTTCTTGATCCGTGTACCCAAGCCCTATTACAATTTAGTCGTAATAAGCTCATGTTCAGCTTTTGGTCATCTGACAGAGGCCTTCCACTGGCTTACCCTCCACCACTTAAAAAAATTATGGTTATAATTATAACCATTAGATTGTTATTGATGGTAAACAGGTTACACGCGGCCTTAAAATCTGGTATAGTGATAGGCTTGAAATCTTGTTAGCTAATCAGTTTCTTCACACTGTAGAAGGGTAAGACGTGCAAGAGTAGGCTTCTTGTTGAAACGTTTCGCTTACACGATAGGCTTCACACTATGTATTCTGGTGTTCACTGATGTTCACTGATGTTCACTGTGGGGAACAGTGAATGTACACTTCGGTAAAAGAACACAGGTGCAACTAATGGGACATTTTACTGAGGCAACGTTTCGCTCTCCAGCTCTGTCGAGCGAAAGGTTGCCACGAAATGTCGCATTAGTTGTACTTTTCCTTTTACCTAACATACTGTCTGTAATTTTACCAACATTTTTTACACCGTACACTTTGCCAAGATATATATCTGGGTATACCCTCAATAAGGTTCCTTGATGCTGGTGATGGGCTCTTGATAGGAAATAATAGGACATTACCTTCCTTCCTTGAACAGAGCCTGATGACTTCCATTCTCCCAGATGCTGTATAATCAGAACTTAACATGCATCCCTTTTTGACCGCCATTGTCCCGGTTTGAAAGTCCTGTCTCGGCGTTCCGGTCATTTTGTCCCGGACAAAATGACCGGACAAAATGGTCCCAGGAAGGTTAATGCCTGAATTTGCAGTGAAAGGGGCAAATGACTCACGAAATCGTAATGACACGATTGCAAACAAACCATACCACGGGCGGGATTTGAACCCGCGGTCAGTGTGTTTCAAAACTCCAGACCGTCGCGTTAGCCACTGGACCAGCTAGCCACAATAAGATTCATCCAACTAGGTATATTTCTACACCATAGGAAGGTTAGCATAGGCACTACTGTGACCACAAATGCAAGCTTTTACAGACGAATCTCCAGCTAGCGTGGCTGTGACGAACTCTAGCTCAAGTCCCCTCACTGCCGTCAACATGACGGCTAGCTGGTCCAGTGGCTAACGCGACGGTCTGGAGTTTTGAGAGACTCTGACCGCGGGTTCAAATCCCGCCCGTGGTATGGTTTTTTTTTAAAGGGGCAAATGTAGTGCAAAATGAACTTTAAGTTGCAGCGAGTTTTAAGAGGAAAAAATAATTATTCCTAAGGAAGGTTTTGCGAAGAGTGGTTCCATACTTCATGCTTTTTTTTTATTTCATGATTTAGTCCTTAAATGAGAAATTGGAGCATTATTAGTCTTTGAAATTAAGGAAAAATGTACCTACTTTATATTTCGTTTTTTTTTTTTCCTTGAGTCCCAGTTTGAGATATTATGGTAAGCCTATGTATACCCCCCTTCCCCATGGATTTGGCACCCCTTTCCTGGAACGTAATAAGACATGAGGTGATAAGATAAGATAAGATTTCGTTCGGATTTTTAACCCGGAGGGTTAGCCACCCAGGATAACCCAAGAATGTCAGTGCGTCATCGAGGACTGTCTAATTATTTCCATTGGGGTCCTTAATCTTGTCCCCAGATGGACCCACACCAGTCGACTAACACCCAGGTACCTATTTGCTGCTAGGTGAACCAGGACAATAGGTGTAAGGAAAACGTGTCGAATTTCCACCCGCCGGGAATCGAACGGGCCCTCCGTGTGTGAAGCGGGAGCTTTAGCACCAGGCCACCGGCCTGGATGATTGTAGGTTTGATATTAAAAATACATCCCAGAGGGATGAAGCTTAATTTACCTTCACACTTCAATCACGTGTCCTGAAGGGGACGCCTGCCCCTTACAGATCTTAAATACTGTATACAGAAGTATCAGTGAGGTCACCCACTGAAGCTCCAGAGATCCTGTTACTGTAAGATACTTTAAATTCCACACAAGCCTCCCGAGACTTGCCTTACGTGCAGTAGTGTGCCTCTCCTGACGTCATTCAGAACACCTTTCACGAAAGCAGTATTTGTGTAATGTTTGTATGTTGTGGGCTTAATGCACACGAACAACACCTGCTATCTTTACTGACACTCAATGTTGCACATGCCTAATAAACCTTCACTTAGAGATTTTTCTAAATTTTTGGTGACGTCCCCCTTTATTTTGCCTCTTCGCTGACGGCCCCATCTTTGACACACTCCCACTTTGACAGCCACAGATTTGTTACACATACTTTGATTATACTTTCCGTAGCACTGCGCACCGCGCTTACTAACTCAACTTGTTATACTCCACCCTCGCTAGTGTCTGATCAAGCATATAAAACCTTTACCACGCCCTACCCTGCAGCGCTGTCTACCCTTGAGAGTTTAAAGCTTAGTTATGATTATAATTATTTTGGTGACCTTGATTTTGTATTTATGAGGAACTCTAAGCCCGATGGTCATATAGAGCTAGGGAATTGGGAGGTAATCAGCATTTTACCAAGGAATAAAAGGGTTAGCCATGATCGTGTGTTCAGCAGCCTTCGCCATCAACAGGTCTCTTCTGCCATGAAAGCAAGCTGTGTGATAAAATAGAGGTGTGGAGGAACATTTGGAATTCAAACTGACCATCACGGGTTAGGGCGGCAGAGAAGTGCATATACAATTAAGAACACAAGAGAGACATTAGTGAAGAGGAACTATATAAATCCGCCGTCCCTCCTCAAGGACTCCTGATCCAGTGAAAAAATGAGCTTAAGATTATATCTGATTACTTTCCATTTTTGCTGTATTTTACAGCTAGGCTTTACGTTATTATCTTACAGCTAGGCTTTACGTAATTATCTTACAGCTAGGCTTTACGTAATTATCTTACAGCTAGGCTTTACGTAATTATCTTACAGCTAGGCTTTACGTAATTATCTTACAGCTAGGCTTTACGTAATTATCTTACAGCTAGGCTTTACGTAATTATCTTACAGCTAGGCTTTACGTAATTATCTTACAGCTAGGCTTTACGTAATTATCTTCAGCTAGGCTTTACGTAATTATCTTACGCTAGGCTTTACGTAATTATCTTCAGCTAGGCTTTACGTAATTATCTTACAGCTAGGCTTTACGTAATTATCTTACAGCTAGGCTTTACGTAATTATCTTACGCTAGCTTTACGTAATTATCTTACAGCTAGGCTTTACGTAATTATCTTACAGCTAGGCTTTACGTAATTATCTTACAGCTAGGCTTTACGTAATTATCTTACAGCTAGGCTTTAAATAATAGGATATTACAGTGACCTCCAGTGGGAATAAGTCACTTTGACCTTCTTTTGGGGTTATCCTATGTAATTTACACGTTACTCTGCATGATCATTGTTCTTATGTGTACCTGTACCTAAATGAACTAACTTATTAATCTTATAATACCTATTCCATTGTGAGCGCTGTATAGCCCTTGTGGCTTAGCGCTTCTTTTTGATTATAGTAATATTCCATTGTGAACACTTCAGGCCAATGCGCAAGGTGTCCTTGCATCGTACGCACTGGCATAGTTATAATGTTGCTTGATGAATAAGACATGTGCAACACCTGCGTATCTTCATAAAGGCACCCAGGTGTTTGCCACGTGCCTTATCAATCTCTTCAGTATTATATCTCTTGCGTAATATTATTTGCAATAAAATTTCGCTTTACCGAGCACAAGACTGAACTTGATCGTCCTCTTTGGATCGATTACCTTCCTTTTCCCAGGCGCCTTGTGGTCTTAGCACTTCCCCGTGAAAATAGTAACTAGGATGTGTATTTAACAGATTACCAAGGGTACAGGTTGATGAAAGATGCCAGTGCGGAAAATAAATTTCATACCCACAAGACCCGAGCCAGGACCCGTCCTGGCAAGCCTACATTAACATACCCAAAACACTTGCATAGCTAGTGGCACACCTGTAGGGATTTTTTTTTATTTAATTGCACCAGGTGGAGGTGGTAATGAGGTGCGTACTTACTACGAGAGAAGAGTTGAATTGAGGTAGCGTAGTATCAAAAAAAATAAAATGGTCTAGAGCGCATAGTGCCAAAAAATGGTCTAGAAAGCGTAGTGCCAAAAAATGGTCTAGAAAGCTTCGTTCTGTGTACATAGAGCTTAATGTAGGAGCCAAATGCTGACCCCACGAAAGCTTCTGCAACCTTTGTAAGAGGAGGTGAGAAAGGTTGACTGGATGATTAAATGATATGTCAGGGGGAGGATTAACTGACGATTGGTTACCGTCTAGCGCAAAAAAAAAAAGTGAAAGTTTAAAAAAAACCCTGACTGATAAATAATTTTTTTTCCTTTCAGAGATATTTTTAGTATGTTTTGCCCACTCGCCCTCTGAATGATCAGACTATATTTTGTAATATTTTAACATTTTTACATTGGCTATTATTGAGTTTACTAATGTTTATGGTTTTTAAAATTTAATTTCTTAATTTAAAATATGGTTTTTGGTTAATGGTTCCCAAGCCATAACTTTCAGATTTTTAAAGGTATCTAACATTTTTGTTTCTAAATGCAGGTAGAGCTAATCCAGATGGAAACTGGAATATGCTAGACTGGGTGTGCAGAGGACTGATGAAGCCACAATGGCGAAACTTTCTCAAATATACCTAGAAGTCACATATTGAGTGTCCTGGTCGCCACAGTGACGAATTTCCCAGAAAAAAAATATCAACACTACAACTTCAGTCATCGGGAGAAGAAACCCAGAAGTAAACTACACGTGTGATGAAGACAAAGGTGAAAAGACACTATACAAGGGAAACTTTTATCGGGTGAATGTTTCACTCTTGTGTAGAGCTCTAGGAAGTCCCATTGCAAGTTTGTTCTGCAACCTCTTTCACTATTCTCAGCAGTGGTCAGTTTGGATTCGGCTTGACACAATGTTGGACACGAAGGACGAGGGATGTGAAGCAGTCAAGGTATGGATTAACTGTAGCCAACGTTGTTAATTATCAACCCTGATTTACAACTTATCAGTTATTTACCTGTGTGGCACAGTGTAGAAGACTCTTATAATGATGAAATTTGCAGTTTACACTCCTTGTCTTGTTACAAGTAGGTTAGCGAGGCATGATTCTCCTTAGGTGACTTTTGTTATCAGGAGAAAGTGAGAAGGGACGGGGAGAGTTTTGTTTGTCAGGATAAATAAGGAAATTTTTCTCAGATGTAAGCCTTCATTACATTGACTCCTCGAGTTTTCTTAGAAAGTCCTTTGAGTGAGGCCTTCCGCTGACTTACTAGTTCTTCGCATTAAAAATTATATATGCCATCTTAGGATGCGCATATTTTCCGGTCGTTTTCTTAACATCTTCAACACTTCGGGCATAATCTATACCCTGGGATATCGGTAGTTAAGTTTCTGGCCTATTACCTTGAATAGCTGTACTTTATTCAAAGTTTTCAACCTTCCTGGTCTTTAATTATGGTATCGATCTTCGTTAGTGGCTTGCTGGGCGCTCATGTTCCCACTTGCAATGCCCAAGGTGAGATCTTGTCTGGTCCTAATGATTTACCCACGACAGTCCGTTACTTTGTGTGTGTGTGGGGGGGGGAGAGGAGGAGGGGAAGATGCTATCATTTGTAGTTGCTTTGTCTGTCTTCGTGAGCTTATGACTATAATTATATATTGTGAGTGGTATACAAATAACGGCAAGTCAGAAAACACTTGGGTATCTTTATTACCGCTAAAGATACCCAAGACTGTAATAAAGATATCCAAATGTTTTACTCATCAATAATTGTGTTCTCCAAAAAAAGTTAGTCGTACGGGTAACTCAGTGCTAGCTAGACCTTGGAAGGTCGCCTGTAACCTCGAGTCGAATACCCTTCAAAAATACCTTCGTGCTGGTAAAAGACTGTGGATGCAAGGAATTGGAACTACCTTTCCCTTCTGTAGATCTCTTGCTTATTTCCTATTTCCCAGGGGCTGTACGAATCCTGCGGGTTTAGTGCTTTCCCTGAATATCGCCTTAGTCCAACGAGACCATTGTTGCCACTCTCATAAGAATATATGTTTTACTACAGAAGTTGACGTTTAATTACTAATAAGACCCATCACTGGCCAGCATACTATACGGGGTCTTCAGAAATCCACTTACTACAGTAGAATGTTTCGCCAAGCTGACGTGTGACTTTGTAAATGGTTCAGGTATGACCGAAACGTCGTGGTAAGCTCCTCTCTTATGTGCGGGTTATTTGTGTATTGTTCCGTTTTTGTTCAAGCTGACGTGTCGAGTAGGGTTCCTGACTCGCTTAGCTAACATGTAAGAGACAGTGCCAAGAATATCAGCCCATCCTCTTAATCAGCCATCATTTCACTGTTGTAACCACAGGTAAACGTGGGACTAATGAAGCATCTTAGCAGTGAAAACCTAACATAAGTATACCGCCCTCCGTGGCTCCGTTTCCTGTTCGCGACACAAAATTTTTGATCTTTACCTTGTATTTATATTTTCTCCGTTGTGGTATGTTATAATGGCTAATTTTTATGGACAGGGGACAGCCTAACCTAAGAGAAATTTGCTGCAACCCTGTACGAGAAATCTACCTATCTTTTATGGGAGTTAAGAGGTTAGGTTGTGAATACTACAGATGTGTAAATACACCGTTCACGACATTCAATAAGAGGGAAAGTTTCGCCACGATTGGCTTCTTCGGTAATAATACAGAGATAAATAAGAACGAGTAGATATAATATCAGGAGTCAGGTCATAAGCCGCAGTAGTGCAATTGCGGTGAGATGAGTTGGGTTTGAGGAGGACCTGTCAGCATCATGATACACCGGTCTCCAGAATGGGTAATATCCTGTTGGTTAGCAATTTGGATATCGTGTTACTTCAGATTTGTTGATGAATAATGCTACTGACAACAATTAGGGCAGCCTCTTAATACTTTCGCCGTCGTAAATCTATGGGTAGTTGAGTGGATCGCTAATCAAGAGAGCAGGTTCCTTGACGCTGGTGAGGGGCTCTTGATCTAGGGAACTGGATCTGTTCTCCAGCCCTTTGAACCGAGTCTGAATACCTTGTCCCCAGCCCCCCCACAGGCGCTGTATAATCCCTACGGGTTTAGCTCTCCCCCATGATTGTATTATAATGAGAAAGCAGGGTAGTTACAGCAGATACTGATTACGGGGAAAAGAGTGAATATTCAACATCAGTAGTTTATACCCTCAGTATAAACTATTAAGGTATACCCACAGTAGTTTATACCCACGTTAAACCTGTAGGCCTATAAAAAAAGGGGGTAGGCTATCAGGAAGACGCTGAGGCACGAATAACGGTTGATTGTCATAAAGAGCTGGATGACTTGGTAGACAATGTTAACTCGAGTTATGGAGATGTCATTTAGTTAAAACCAGGTTACAATGTGTCTCACTCTGGTTATATATATATACACTGTCTTTAACCTCTATGTTAGAAGTGATCAAGGTCCCAGGACTGAAAGGTTTTCTAATATGTCCTAGTGTTTGCTTACGTGTCTTTCTAAACTAAAACCAAATACCGGAACACTTTATAAAATTTTGTTGGAAGGTCCGTTACTCAAGTAAACATTAATTAGTGATTACAGGAATAAAATAACTAGGATGACAAAAATTGACATATACAAACAAAATATGAATAAGAATACTATACAAACTAGACACTTAATTTACATTTGAAAAGTGTCATTTGGCGTCACGAACCGAATTTCGTGGGACACCACAAAACCGGGACTCCTCGTTAAACCGGGACGACTGGGATCCCTAACAGAGATAAACACTGTTGACCACAAATTGATTCAGTACAGTATTAACCACACCGTAACCAAATTACCCAGAAAGGAGAAAACTGGTTACGTTTTTAGCAGTGGATTGAAAGGCGAAATGAGGACTGACTTGGGGCATAGCATGCAAAAGAAAATGGAAAGGAAATGAGATCACTGGTCATGGACCGGGCTGGGGGGGGGCGGATTGATCCCCCGAACACCCTCCAGGTATCACCAGGTGAATCAGGGTATGTAGCGCTGACTGATGAGGGTGGGGTCTGTGGTTTATTCCTGAAGGTGGGGGGGGGGCCTCTTATCCTTAGAGGGGTGCCATACTTCACCGGGAGCTTGCCTAAGGGCCCAGCGTATCCTCCGGCATAAATGTTGGGATATTTCCCCTTTCCTTTAAATCTGCTAACGCTCCTGGTCGATGACCTGGAACGTTCTTTAGACGTGGATTGCGGAATGTGACAAATAGTTTTTGAATAGTTGTACTTGCGTTGTGATTACTATGTAATACGAGTGAACTGGTCACGACAGTAACAAGTGGGTAATGTTGATATAAATTTGTTATATAATATTAGAAATGGAATGTTTTTAAAGCGTAACCAAAATACTTTTACTGCTTAGTAAATATAACGGTACAAGCAAGCGCTGACATGCATACTTCTACAAGAGAGTAGGAAAATAACGAAGGTCAAAATCTTTTACATTAGTTATAATGTAAATAGCATATACACTGGACGAAGTTTTCCTTCGCAACACTTGTTAATGCTGGGTGGTGTGTGGCGCAGGTGGCGTCCGATAGTCGTACCTACATACCTTATCGTGACCGGATATATTAGTTTAGTTTGTTATAGGCTGGTGATTTTATTTAATGGAGAGGCACACTGAACCTTCAGGGGTTTTGCAGCACCTTAGAGAATGGAGAAAAATGGTTATAATTATAACTATAATTTTTAAAGGGGTGGAGTGGTAAGCCAGTGGAAGACCTCGGTCTGATGACCAAAAGCTCCGGCTGTAGGTAATCATATAACTAAGACCTGCGTCAGGAAGCACTTGTCCTGGTTTCCTGACAAACCTTACCTAACCTAACCTTAGAAAATGAGAGGCAATCGCATGCAATCCAAGGAAAGTGAGGGATAGCTCATCAGTTATATCTGTGACTCTGATGGGTTAGTATTATACCCCTTCAAGAATATTCTATTATTTCACATACAATTTTCAAATTGCACCAAAGTGGTTGGGCCACTTGCCTTTTATATCCTACCTCACTGCCCCCTCCTACCCTTTTCCAATATTTCTATCCTTACCCATCCTTCCTTACCTATCTTTCCAAAGACTTTGGTCATAAGAATCGAATCGAGGGATAGCTCCAATTCTCAAATCAAGAGCCCTTCACAGGCGTCAAAGCACCTTAAGGGTGTCCCATAGCTTGATCGCTATCGCACTCAGCTCACACACTGAGGTCCGGAGTTCGAATTTCCTCCGGTACGGCTGGAAAACATTAGGGACGTGTTTCCACAAGACACTTGCTGTCCATGTTCACCCATCAGTATAAAATGGGTACCTAGGTGTTGGACTGGTGTGGGTCGCATCTTGGGACAAAACTGACCTAATTTGCGGGAAATGACCAGCATAACAAGCGGCTTTCTATATAGTAGTATGTCATTGATTTCGGCTATGGTCTGTATACCTTGTACATGTACTTGTAGAAATAGATATATTATGATGTACGAGCGATTCCATTGGATAATTCCCTATAATTAATCATAGATGCATCCGGATTAACGACCATGATTCATCAGCTCGCCCTCCTAGGAGTGAAGCAATGTTCCCTGGTTCTAAATATTTGAAAATAACTTGATGGTACAATATTAGATAAAGCTCCCAGTATTACTGTAGAATTCACTATCTTTTTAAGCGAAGGAAGACATTAAGAGGTGGTTAACAGCACCATCATATGTTGAGGGTTTTATTAATATTATGTGCCCACGGTTCTTGTGATCGATAATCTTATTAAGCAGTTGTAGAATATAGTTTGCATAAACCATTTCTAGGCCCTTTGTAATTCAGTTATATATATCATCAGTATTGTACTGTGAAATTTAAATTTAATTCTTGTCCTTATGAATGGAAATTACAGGTCATATGTTTGAGAGCTGACTGGAAAGAGAAGAGCCCTCTTCTACGAATAAATCCCAGGTAAGACATGGAGTTTTGTTTATGTAGTATTTTTCACAAAAAAATGCCCTTGCTCGTTCTTCAGGACATTATACAAATGGTTTTACAGTGACTGGGGGGGGGATGTTTAGAATATTTAAATTTAATTGGGATTACCCAGTAGTAAATGATTGCTGGGTCGTTGCAAGGCTAAGGACAAGTGAAGGTTGAGGGATGTCGATGGCAGCCATAACCACTGGCTTACCTGTGCTACACTCAGTGATCTGAATAAGTAGGCTAGATTAGTGGTCCCCGTCAGTCCTCAGTGAGTGCGTAGTTAATGCTTGGCCACAGTGGACACTAGCAGCTACAACTTCTCTAATTCTTATCTCTTCAAGGAGTCGTTGCCACTGTATGCATAATGCTTCCTTCAATATTATTAAAGTATAGTACAAAGCAGCCACAATACCTGGAGTTTACCTGGAGAGAGTTCCGGGGGTCAACGCCCCCGCGGCCCGGTCTGTGACAAGGCCTCCTGGTGGATCAGCCTGATCAACCAGGCTGTTGCTGCTGGCTGCACGCAGTGTAGAATCCAGATTTTGCCAATCTGGAAATGACCACTAGTAGCTAAATATATCTTGAGACGCTCTGATCGCGGGTTCTATCCCCACCCGTGGTATGGTTTGTTTGCAATCGTGTCATTACGATTTCGTGAGTCAGTTATCTTTATATGAATCAGTTGTTTTCTTGTTGATCATGTAGGATCTATATGATAACCTACATAAAATGGTTGTACAACTGTAACTCAGATTAGTTTAAGCAACAAAAAAGTTACGCATATCCAGTTTGTCGATAATCCAGTTTTCATTTTCCTCTGTGTAGCTTGAATTTATTGTGTAAAAATAAATATTTCCTGGAGTTTACCTTTCGCTCACTAACCAGAACACAAATATACAGGGTTGTGATTATTACGAAGATACTTTTGTGTAATGCTTGAAGTACAATATCGTACAAGTTTAGGTGACTGCTAGTTGTGGTAGAGCACTCGGCTCAGAACTGAAGGACCCGGGTTCGATAATGGGGCTAGTAGAGACTTGCATTTTTTGAACTCGCGTTCACCTAACTATAAATACGCCTGGTCCTTAGCCTCTCATTTCTCCAGGCGCTGTACGAGTATAGGTTTTGCCCCCTTTCGCCTTGAATATAATGAGGGGAGGTTTCAGCAAGTCCAATTTTTTTCTACACAAGTTTTTATAGAACACGGGCGAATATTACTACAGGTAGTGGTTACACTAGAAGAGCATCAACGCAATAATAAACTCTCATAGGTCATCTAGAGAATGTGAAAGGGAGTAAAAGAACTGCGAGAAAAATAGTCAACTCCAGATCTCGTGTGCAGAAGATCAGCCGTGACTTGCACTGATGATCCCGCACTTCTCCGTGTCCGGATTCCAGAGATGGTGGGTCCCCCTCATTCCCTCCACACACTCCACAAGAACCCTTCCAATGTTTTCCTAATTCAACATTGCTCCTCTGAGCTCTTCAGCAAACAAGTCTTTCGTAATGACAGCCTTGGTTAAATAAGTTTTGAGGAGTTACCCTTCGAAGGATGCTTAGTTTTGTTCAGTTACCCCTGGAGAGTTGTTTATTTACAGTGACGTCACGGCGTGGATAATGACGTCAGGAGGAAAATCCAGCAGGCAGGATGATAGCGAGGGTGAGGGAGGGAGATGATGACAGCCCCCTCCCTCACACTGGCCTATTTCCCAGCAGTCTTACACTAGTCGTCGCCTCGCTAGGATATACACTAGACGCTCAGTGTGTGCACGCGACCTCACCACGGAGATATACACCAGTGATTTCTGACAGTTGTGTGAAACATTAAGGTCCGTGACCCTCTTTACACGAGGGTAATTAGGGTCTCGTTAATCCATGGAGATTTTAGCATGAAAGATACTGTAATTCCTAAGATAGGGATTAAATTGTGTATATGTACCATGATATACATAGCTCTGGGTATATAATACCCCGTGGTCAGCTGTACCAGTAGTGCATTAGGAGGATCAGCAGTGGACAGGTGCAGTCCCTTCATAAGTTATGCACCGCGACAGTCTCATGCAAGTCTGACTCTGTAATCTAACGGGTAAGTTCATTATCTACCGTAACTAATAATAATAAATCTTAATATTTTATAGGGGGTGGAGGGGTAAGCCAGTGGGAGGCCTTGATCAGATGACCAAAAGCTCCAGTGTTGGGTCATCATATGACTAAGACCCACGTCAGGAAATACTTGTCCTGTTTCCTGGCGAATCTTACCTACTGTAACTACTGGAAATACTTCAGTGAGGGAGAAGGGAGTGGTACCTGGATAGAAGAAACAGGAGCTATATGTTCTTCCCTTGTATAAAACACTGTTTACTTCAGCCTCTTCAGATATTGAGTCGTGTGGGCTGCCGTCTCCTCCGATGGATCAAATTAACAGATTTATTATCCTGGTTGCTTCGTTAATGGGGTTTTAAAGCCTATCTACTTCACAGGGGTTATTGAAGCTGCAAGGCACCTGTTCACCCACTGGTCAAGAATACTGCAAACCTAAAGCAGAGATGAAAGTAAACTTAGCATGCATAAATATGCGCTTCATGATATATAATATTTATATATTAATATATATAATATATTATATATATATATATATATATATATATATATATGCGCTTCATGGTATATATGTATGAAGGGCTCTTGATTCAACAAAACAGGACTTCACTGCCCTTGGGACGAATTTTATTGCGTCCCAGTCCCCAGACTCTGGATTGCCTCGTACGAGTTTAGCGCTCCTCACCCATGAATGTAATAATATTTTAATGTTTTGTATTTTTTCTGAATTTCTTCATCAGTTTCCCTTCTAGATTAGATTATGAAAGAGAAGGAATTCTCATTTTTAATATATATTTTGGAATGGACTCCGTCTTAGTAGGTATGTATAATTATGTATACATATATTTTATTTATTATATACATATCTTATACTCGGTGACTATTAGGTTGACTTGGTTAATGCAAATATCTAATAAGCCAATCACGTAGCAGCACCACATACATGGTCAAGAGGTTCTGTTGTTTAGACCAAACATCAGAATGGAGAAGTAATGTGATCTAAGTGACTAGGGCTGTGGAATGATTGTTGGTGCCAGATGGGGTGTTTGAGTGTCGCAAATTGCTTATCTCTTGGGATTTTCACGTACAAGTCTCGAATTTGCAGAGAATGGTGTGAAAAGCACAAAACGTCCAGTGAGTGGCAGTTTTGTAGGTGAAAACTCTTAAATAACGAGAGGTCAGAGGAGAATGGCCAGACTGGTTCAAGCTGACAAGAAAGTAACACTAACTCAACCACACGTTACGAGTGGTATGCAGAAGAGCATCTCTGAATGCACAACACGTCGAACCTTGAAGAGGATGAGCTACAGCAGTAGAAGACCACACCGGGTTCCACGCCTGTCAGCTAAGAACAAGAAACTGAGGCTACAATGGGCAGTCTCGCCGAAACTAGACAGCTGAAGATTGGGAAAAGTCCACCTGGTCTGATGAATCGCAATTCCTGTTGCGACATGCAGATGTTCATCAGAATTTGGTGTAAGCCTTCGGGATATGGTGAACGGGAGATTTACAGCATGAATGTGCAGCCGACAAATCTGCAGCGACTACATGATGCTGTTGTGAAAACATGGACCAGGATCTATTTAAAGAATGTCTCCAGCACTTGTTGAATCCATTCCATGAAGATTTCAGGCTGTTTGGAGGCAAAGAGAAGACCTACCCAGTACTAGAATGGTGTACTTAATAAAATGGTCTGTGTGCGTGTGTTAATAATTAAGTATATATTTTATGCCAATTTACTTTACGTATGAAGCTTTCATTGTACGTTAAGTTCTATGGAAGTAATTGATCTGTATAAATTGCCATTTTTCGTTATTTTTTTTCTTTTTACCTTAAAACTCTGAACTACAGGTTTATAGATTTTTTAAAGGTTTCAGTATTACTTAAAAACCACACTAAATGCGCTACTTGACCTAATGGTTAAGAAAACTAAAAGACAAATATTAAATATAGATAATTTTATCATAGGACTTTTCTTTACCTGATCTTCAGTGAAACCGTTTTACTGTGAGGAATAATTGATCAAACGAATAAGTCTACGGTGCTAATTGCTAATTTTTGGAAGATAATTTTCGGCCTCAAGTCCAGGCTTACCGTATGATTGTTTTATGGTTTGTAGATGTTGATTTTTACACACATGTAACTAAGTGCGTCATTGTAGCGAGAAATTTGAGTAGCTTTAAAAATAAGTCAAAGTACAGAAGTGGGTGAGTGAGAGTTGGACCCTCCTATCATGGGCCAGTAGGTCTACAGCATTGGTGCTCTCTTTTTTGTTCCTGTATATATGTAGTATAGATAGGGAAGACAAAAGTGTAACATTAAGGTATCGTTAATGCCACTTGTGCATTCAATTGATGAAGCCTACTTGGTAGGCGAAACGTTTCGGAATAGATACCTAACTTGCATGTAGATAGCTTATCTACTTATCGGTATTATGTAGCATTATTATATTTATACGTTGTATAATTAATCAGAGTTGAGTAGACACACACTGGACTTGAGAGTATGCCATTTTTTTTTCTATGTACTATATATGACTACAGTATTTGAATTTGAGGGGTATAAGCTCTAGTTGTTGGCCCTTCTATTTCCACCGACTGACACGACAGAGCTGTCATATCTATTCTTGAATCCAAGTGTGGAGTTTGCTTACACTGCCATTGCGAACGTTTTTCTTAGTAATATTTGATTGTTACTGCAAGAGCGTCGTGGACAACCTACCTCCAAGATACTATCAAACTACCACACAATCCTCTACTACATCTCTACAACCTTGCACCTTCTCTTTAAAACTTCGCCTTCTAAACTGAACCTCTCTCCTGCAGGTGGACAGTTTTAACCTCGCCATCCCCCTCTACAACCCAATCCTTCTCCCCTCTACCACTATCCTTTCCCCTCCACCATAGCCACGAATCAAACCGGTATTGAATCTTGCCTGCGTGGCTTTCAGTCCTGCCTAGCCTCGCCGATCGATTGCCTCCCACGACTTGTGCTGTACGGAACGAAGACCCACCGTTAAAATCAGTAAGACATTGCTACGCTGCTGGGTTTAATCCCGACTCCCTTTCTCTTCCACCTCACTGCTCAACTGTCCCCACTTTCTCCCCTCACCTCTCAAAGGTCTTACCTGAGTGACTATAAATTGCGGTTCGTAAACAAGAATTGCATTTTTGATGCTGGTGCCACGGTCAAATAAGTTCCGGCTTAATGCTCGTAGCTGTAGTTCCTCCAGATGCTCAGTAGTGACCAAGCAAGATAGAAATATATTAATGGTATACAGTACCAACATGATGAATAAGACGCATGTTTCGCCAGAACAATAACATGTAGTGCACGCGAACGTTTCGGGACTAAATGAATCAGTGTATAGATACATGTCTTATTCAATTCAAGGCAAAGCTCGACTGTGCCGTAGAATAGTTTGTATGGTGTAGTGCCCACTGGCAAGAGTATAAAGACTGTTCAGCATCTTTAGTTGGTACTACATTTCGCTCAGGGTAGAGAGCTTTATGAAAAAACTTGATAAACCACTGTCCTGACCTGAATGTAAGATACAGATTCGTTCGGATTTTTAACCCCCCGAGGTTAGCCACCCAGGATAACCCAAGAAAGTCAGTGTGTCATCGAGGACTGTAACTTATTTCCATGTGATCCTCAATCTTGTCCCCCAGGATGCGACCACACCAGTCGACTAACACCCAGGTACCTATTTGCTGCTAGGTGAACAGGACAACAGGTGTAAGAGGAAACGTCGAAAATGTTTCCACCCCCGGAATCGAACCCGGGCCCTCCGTGGGTGAAGCGGGAGCTTTAGCCACCAGGTCACCTGTACCTGCATATTGTGTACACGTACCCAAGCAATAGGACCAGGGGCGACTCCAGAATATTTATTACCTGAAGTGCTGCCATCTGGTAGGTAGAGAGGCTAGGAACAGTCTTAAAGCAGTTACTTTTTTAAGTTAGGGGGGGATGGGGGATGGAAGGTTATTCCGTTGTGCCTGTTTAGGGTTAAATCCTTTACAATGCATAATAGGGAAGGTGGATCCCGAGGTGCATATAAATGAATATATAAAAGTCGGTTCTTTCTTCATCCTTAATCCATCAAAGCCCAACATTACGAGGCCTCTGAGCATATGGATGACCCCTGCAATAATGAAAGTAGCCATTAGGGAACCTTAGGGTACAGTAGTAGCCATGGTGTCATAATGGTATACAATACTTAAAAGTAAATGAGACATGTCACATTTAGGTATATTAGTGAGACTTCGCCTGCGCAGTAAACGTCAAATAGAGGTGACATTTGAGGAGACACAACACAACACAACACCAGTAATAAAAGAATAACAGCAAGGACCCTAGAACTCAACTTGTCTACCCAGCAGGACGCCAGTGTATCATCAACCCCTCTCTCCGCCGCCACCCAAGGAACAACAACAACAACAACAAACATGGCTGACTCCCCCTCCAACTCCACTCCCTTCAAAGGATTCATCCATGATAACTCAGGTACGATTATTCCTGACAATATCAAGGACTACATCGTTGCTCTAGAAAATGAAATCAAAGATATCAAGCAGCACTCGAGCGACGAGATTCCAAGATAACCAAACCTCGAGAATAAGATCCAAAACTTGAAGAGAAGATTACATCGGGAAGTGTTGATACAGAAAATACTCTAAAAGCAGCTATAGCCAGTCACACTGAACAATAACAACAATAAATATGAAGGTTGAAGAAGCAATCAAGGACTGGAATCTGAACATGCACACTCGACTAAATGAATACCTTGATTTCCAAGACGACAAAACTGAACAAGATAAGTTGTCTGATGCAGTTATAATAAACAGTCCACACATTCCTAGTGACATAACACAAGCACAGTGCAAAGAAACTGCTATCAGGATAATACAGAACCACGTACAAGTCATCGGTGCAAAACAATAAAATCAAAGAAACACGTTTGTTAGGAAAACCAGAAGTAAACACAGTATAATGATCCGACTTCATTCATACGATAAAAGAAAGGACCTAATTAAATCAGCAATTACAATGAAAAATGGAGTGTACATAAATGAGTGTCTAACAAAAAAACGTCAAAACCTTCTGTTCAGGCTGAGAAAACTTAAACAGGAAAACAAAATACATCAGTGTTTCACGCGAGATGGGAAAATACTAGTAAGGAAAACATCAACAGGACAACAATATACCATCTCAAACGAACATGATTTCTCTCCCTTTCCCTTAGAAAAGCTGACATTTCTGTAACAGTTTTAAATAAGTGCCCTTAATACATATATACGTGTGGTGCATATAGTGTACGTTACTATCATATGTACTTTATTATTTTTATTATTTTTCATCACTAGCTAATCCCAAAACTACCTCCAATACTCTATAACTTTCTTACTGCTATTAATTGCTCATAATTTTAAATTAAAGTCAAATCTTACTCCAAATTTAAATAATATTCATTTTTTCTACCTGTCCTTTTAAATTTTTGTTTATCACTACTTGTTTTTTTGGGTCACTTTACATTGTTATTCAATTAGTGTATATTCCAATTACTTTTTGCAAGTACCAAAACTATCTTTTGCTAGCTAGTACCAACTACCTCATTTTTTTTTACTTTTATTGTGCAATAAACTGCTCAATTTATCTAATATTAAAAAATCAGATCTTACTCCTAAACCAATATTATTTCATAGTGACCATCTGCCATTTAACTTTGTTTTACCATTTACTTAATTTTAGTCCCTTATATATTTTTCTCCTTTATTTTAGCTTTATATAACTACCCTAGCTTATACATTCAAAATTTTTTAAAATAATCAAGGTGCTATTCTCAGGTGCTAAAGTAGAACAATTTCACAATTTTGGCATTATATTCCAAAGTCATTTATTTTATATTTACTACCTACTATCATTTTCCCCAAGCTCCATTATTGATCATCACTTTATTTGTACTAGTCCCTTTTATATTGTCTCCTTTATTTTAGCTTAAAAAAAAAAAAAAAAAAAAAAAAAAATACCTTAGCCCATTATTTTACATTTGTTAATTAATTCAGGTGCTTTTTTTTAGCTTAAGACTATTTACTTTTTTTTATACTTAATTCTAACTATAGATTCACTACAAATCTTATGATTACAAGCATTGATCCAGTTTCCCAAACCTCTTATTTAATGACTTAAATGAATCAAACAGTTACTGTAATTACTACACTGCAGAACAATCAAAGGCACTTCTCAGTCCCAAACAAACAACATAACTATCTTTAACTACAATATCAATCTTTAAGCAAGCATTACGATGACCTCATGCATTACTAAATTCCTTACATGCCAAATGTCCATCATTACACTAACTGAAACCTGGCTAAAGCCTGATACTACAGATGTCTATACCTTTCCGGGTTTACACAGCCATACACAACTGTAGGCCAGACCAACAAGGGGGTGGGCACAGCCATATACTACTCAGACCAACTAGAATGTATCACTAATATTTGCACAAGAGATGAACATGGGGAATATATAATAGCCAAATTCAAATCCAAATACCTACAAAAACCTCTCACATTGATAAACTTTCTACAGAGTTCCACGTAAAAACATTACCCAAAATTTAGCCCAAAACCTAGGAAGTATGATAACTGATGCACGCATGAACAAAGATCACTTACTACTCTCAGGTGACTTCAATATAAATCCCTGCAAGACCAGACCCACACGTTACTGAATTCACAAAACACAATGAGTAACTGTATGTTGCTCCCAAACAGTAACAAAACCTACAAGAGTTACAGAGACTAGTGTTTCCAACTTGACCAAAATCTGGACCAACACCATATCCCCTTTAAAATCAGGCATAATTACAGATAAAAACCACAGACCACTACCCTACTTTCCTCATAACAACTTTTGGGTTTAAATTACCCCAAGACACTACTAAGTCACCTTCAGACTTCACAATGAGGCAGCCATTAATAACTTCACAACAGCATTAGCAAACATTGATTGGCACACTGAGCTAGAAATCAATACAGATATTGACGAATGTATTAATAATTTTT